TGTTTGCTTTGACCTTCATTTTAAAAGCTTTCAGCCTTGGAAATTGAAGCCATGAGTGTATAGAAGGGATAGCAAAGAGTACGAAGCAAAAAGCCTTTATTGTATAGGTGCTGGATTCATTACTTGTTAGCATAGATTAGATTAAATTTTCAGCTTTTGATTTTTGTTTGGATGTTTTAATTTCTTTCCTTAAGCAGTTAAGGAACTGTTATTTTATTGTATTACAGACACCTGATTAAGTTTCCACTTCTTTATAGTTGGGTGTTAACTTTTTGACCTGTCTAAAAGACTTCTGAAGTCTTTTGCTTCTGAAGATTTGTGATTAATTATTTAAAAGAAAATGACCTAACTTTGTAAATTCCTCTCATTTCTATAGGTTCTTTAATTTAGTATGATGATTCACTACATTAAAATTTTTCTCCAAAAATTATCATAATATAGCTTGAAAAAATAATATTTCTCTGATGGGATTGTTGAGAATTACTACATTTTATGGTTCAGAACAAAGACTGTTGATGTTGAGCTGTTGTGAAGAGGATGAGTGTGGGGTGTTCTGTGAAGAATCTGGACAGCGTTAGCCAGATCCTATGGGTGAGACTTTTAGGAAAGACGTTTTTCATTTTGCCATTAGGTGCTGACAGCCAAGAGGTAGCCTAAAATCATGCAGCAAACAAAATGGAAAGTAGCCTCCTGTTTTTATCACAGTGACCTTTTAGTTAATTTATGAAACTGGAAAATGAGAGCCTGCTGTTTTTTAATACCTAGTTTTCATACTGTTGTTGAAATAAGGTAATCATGCTCTCCATGCATAGTATTAAGGTGTTGCTTGACTCATACAGGATAATGATACCTTTGTTTTGAAATCCCAGCATTTTGCAAGCATATTGATAACCATATTACAGTAATTTTTTCATTAATTTCAACAAATATTTATTAAATGTTTGCTTTGTGCCAGGTTTTGTTATAATCTCAGGGGATACTTCAGGAGGTAGACAGAAAGCTCCTGCTCTGATGAAGCTTACATTCTAGCAGGGGGAGATAGATAAATAATAAGCATAATGAATAAGGAATTATGTAATAAAAGTGGTAAATTACATGGAGTAGGGAAGATTGGAAGTGCTAGTCTTCGGTGGTTGAGCTGCAGTTTTAAATACAATAGTCTAGATAGAGCTTTATTGAGAAGGTCATATTTGAGCAAAGATTCAATAGAGGTGAAGTTAGCTGGGATGAAAAGTATTCTAGGCAGAGGGGAGAACCAATGCATAATCCCTAAGTGGGAGTGCGATTGACATACTTAGTGACCCAGAAGGAGGCCTGTGTCTAGGATAGAATGAATGAGGAGGAAAGTAGTGGGAAATACAGTCAGACCATCAGATAGGGGCTTGTAGGTCATTATAGGAAACAAATGATCACAAATACCTTTCCATATCATATTTTAAATTTAGACCTAATGAGAAAGAGGAAAAAGTTAACATTCATTGAATTTATACTCTATTCTTTCATTCTGTAGATATTTTCGCACATCTTCTATGTGCCATTTATTGTGCTAGGTGAAGGGAATATAGTGAACAAAGAAACAAGAAAAAGTAGTCACAGTTTTTATGGAGATTATCTTGGTCTAGTGTGAATCATAGTGTTTGTTAATTGTTGTACCTGATGACATATATTATCTCTTATAATTCTTCATACTTCATTTAATTCCAAGTATCCAGTAAAATAGAGAGTTGTTAACTTGGAATCTGGTTGATGAAAATGAGAATAAGAAAATTTGGTAATTTTTCTAAAGTTGCATAACAAGTATGACAAAATGGGATTAGAATTTAATCTTGTCTTTTTGTTACACTGTTGTTTGGTTCCCAAATCTGGTCATGCATCCTAGCTAACTAGGAAGCTTATTAAAAGCTATAGATTCCTTAACATTACCTCTGCAAATTCTGGTTTACCATATTTGGCACAGAGCCCCAGGAATCTATATTTTTAATAAGCATTCTAGAGTTTCCTGTAGTTTGGCACTGCTGCTGTCAATATTATATTTATGGTGGTGATGTGGGCATCCTTATCTTGTTTCTATTTTTAAAGAAAATGATTGTCATCATTTCACCATTGAGTATCATTTTTGCTGTAAGGTATTTGGAGGTGTTCTTGGTCAGGTTAAGGATTTCCTAATTCCTAGTTTGCTAAGAATTGAGTGTTGAAGTTTAGTAATCTCTACAAACTCAACTGACCAAATTATGTGCATTTTTCCCTTCATTTTTTAAGGTAGTAGATAATGATAATAGGTTTTCAAATATTGAGCCAGCCTTGTAAAAAATGTATTCATTTTTTAGAATGTTATTGATTCCAGTTTTAATGTTTTCTTTAAGATTTTTGTAATCTGAAATTGTGTTTAATGTCCTTTCTTATACTGTCCTTGTTTTGTTACCAGAATAATAGCCTCAGAAAGTGAGTAGAGAACTTTTCCTCTTTTCCTGTTCTTTGGGAGGTTGTTACATAAGACTATATTCATCTGCTCCACATGTTTGCTAGAACTCTCTTTTTAGTCTAGCAGTGTTTCTGCAATGGTTTCATACTCAAAAGAACTATTACAGCCATCCAGATTTCCTGATTTTCCAGTCTGTTGTGCGTTTATACTTTTCGAAGAATTTATCCATTTCACCAGAATTTATGAACAGTACTTTTATTTTTAATCTACATCTGTATTTATGCCCTCTTTCATTTTCTATGTTACTTTTTCTGCTTTCTCTCTATTTTCTTGATTAGTCTTGCCAGTGCTTTGTTAATTTTATTGATCTTTTAAACAATCAATTTTTGGCTTTGTTACCTAGTTTCCTTTTCATTTTCTGTGAATTCCTTATATAACTTCTTTTGTTTCCTTTTATTTTTGTTGGGCCTGTTCTATTTTTCAAAATTCATTGTTTTGTGGTCTGTATTTTCCAACATTAGCATCCCAGGCTATAAATTTGGCTTTTGCTGTATCCCACAGATTATGAAGAATAGTATTTTTACTGTTTTGTTCTAGATAGTTTCTAATTTTCATTTAGACATTTTCGAAGTTTGCTAGTTACCTTTTTGTCATTGATTAGTTTTTAAACTTACTTGCCTTGTGGTCAAAGCATGTGGTCTATAGGATGCAAACTCTGACCCCACTAGGCACACTTCTTGAAGACTTGCTTTTGCTCTGCCCTCATGGCTAGCTCTTCCTCAGATATTTGCAGCACTCACTGCTTTATGCCAAGGGATGGCTGCTAGTATAGGTAAGAACAGCACAGCTGGGGAGTTAAGATTCTGTCAGAGTGAGTTTCTAATTTAATGTTTAAGAGATTCATTGATCTGTTCTGGATGATGATGAGATCAAGGGTGGGGCAGGGTCACTTAGGTAGAATGTAGGGGAAGGTTACGAATCAAGGCATTTTGAGCTGTGGTTTTGAAGGATTCTCGACATCGCCCAACATGCTGGTGGGATTTGGGATAAAGAAAAGGATGCAGACCACATGTCAGAGTGTCTCCCATTGTCTAGAGCTGCTTGACGTAACAGGCCTTGATTGGTGCCCTCTGGCTCCTTGTGTTTGGAGAAGGGATTAGCTGGCTTTCCCTCTTGGCCGCTTTTGCGTGGCTCCCTTCTGGGTTCAGGGTCCAGGAGGCTAAGGTGTAAGTGGGAAGGCCTGGAGTGGCTTGAGGAAAACAATCTAAATATAAATCTCCTTATACAGTTGAAGAAAGGATTGGCTCCTTGGATGCACAGTTCTTTATGGAATCAGAGCAGCCTGTGCAGTTAGTCTTGAACTTCAGAGTTTCATGGCCTTTTGAGGAATTAGTCCTTTAATTTTTGATGATATTTGTTGCTTGCTTTTTACCTATGCCTAAGCAAATGTTTTAGGAAGTTACAGTGATTGTTTTAGTTGAAACCTAATGTTTCACCTAAATGTTTCTACCCTATTCTCAACATTTTTGTTGCAGGGTTGCAAATTTGCACCTTTTTTGTCTTTTCATTTGTCCTGATGGCTCCATTCACCTTGCTTAGAGAACATTTTCTTCCGCTTCTAAATAAAGTGGTTGTTTCTCTATGCATGTCTTTAATTTAAAAAGTGCTGACAGCTGACATGACCACGTTGTCATTGGTACTGACTTGCCTTTTGTGCTGTAGTCATTTCCTTTGGTATTACAGTATTGGGAGTTTTGTTTGTTTGGGTGGTTGTTTTCCTTTGTTTTTTAAGCTTTTGAATTGACATGTAGTGAAATAACTAACAGTTCTTGGTTGGCAGATAGTTAGGAAATTGAGCTGTTTACTGTCTTCTGGGCATATGGCGTAACATTGTACAAAACAGCTAAATGTTGGAGCCTACTGATGCTGATTTGCTTTGTCCTGATTTGGGGAGCATGATAATAGTTTTTATATTATTTCATACTGTAGAAATAAAGAAGTAGTGTGTAAGTAGTATTGCTTTGTAGATTTCTTCTTTGTGTACATTACTTAAATAAGGTTTCTCTGCCCTAATGTTCAGTGAAGTATTTCAGATGTGCTTTGGGCTCTTTACAAATAATTCCTCTGGAAGTTGTGAGAGGCCTCCATGAAAACTAGATATTACCAGAAAGCTTATGGAAAAAATGCTGTTCAATCCCATATTGTTTATAAGACATAAGGAGAGGGAACATAGGATTATTTGAACTCTTTCAGTTTAAATTTGAAATGTAACTCTTGAATCTAGAGTGGGTAGTAAGGCAAGTTTAATCTTTGGAAAGTAAAATTGTTTTTTCAGGTTGCTGGTTTTTAATACCAAATTTTAATATCCTTGGATTAAAAGATACAGTCTTGTAGTTTTACAGTTAGATGGAACCTTAGAGGTACTGTCATGACATGTGTGGTACTTGTATTTTCATCAAGAAAAGTTAGAACCTAAAAAAATTACCAAACTGAAAACAATCCAGAACAGAGGTGAAGAAGTATCCATTAACATGAGCAAATGAATAAGTCAGCTATTTTGCTGCCGTTTTGTTTTCTGAACACTAACACATTAGCCTGTGGTTTTAACCGTTGAATCCTTTTATTTTTTTCATTCAGTGCTATCCATGTATCTTCTTATGCTTGACTCTTGGTTAACGGTATGCACAGGGGTCCTAAGTAAATAGTTTAAAGTGCTACTTGATGGTGTGGACAACAGTGAATACAAACTTGGTAGTTGATTTATAAGTGTATTGAAGTGTCTAACATATCTGTCCTTCTCTTTTAGGAAACTGAAAATGGCCCTTCAGCTATGCTAGGTCTATAATGGGAAGTGTCACAGTTCGGTATTTCTGTTATGGATGCCTTTTTACGTCTGCAACCTGGACAGTTTTGCTTTTTGTTTATTTCAACTTCAGTGAAGTGACTCAGCCACTTAAGAATGTGCCCATCAAGGGGTCTGGGCCCCACGGACCATTCCCCAAAAAATTTTATCCCCGTTTCACTCGAAGTCCAAGTCAAGTATTAGAATCACAATTCAAAGCAAACAAAATTGATGATGTGGTAGATAATCATATTGAAGATCCAGAAAAAGGCAACATGAAATTCTCTTCTGAATTGGGTAAGTGTATTTGATTTTTGCTAGCAGCATTTCAAAGTATTTAATCATTGGAAGCTTAAGTTTAATTGTTTTTTAAATCATGTATTGCTCGGAGGATTAAAAATGTGACTTTTTTCCCACACCAATTTATTTTGTTCATGGGCTAGCTGTGGTCCTCTGATTTTTGCAGACTCAGTTGGGAGTTGTATTCTATTTTGTCCAGTTCTGACTTCAATATTTTATGAAGACTTGGGAGAAACTCATAAGGTCCAGAATAGAAAAAAAAATAATGAAAAATTAAGTGGCTGGAAAAAAAAATGGAACCTATGGGGGAAGATTTTAATTGCTAGTATTATTTAATAAGGGAAAGAATGGTTGAAAGATGACTATATTTAATATATTCTGAAAGGCAGAGTTAATTAAAACAGAACACAAATTATTGGGTTTAGAAATAAGTTGAGATTACTTATATCTAATAAGGTTTCTACTTATAAGAATTATTAAGGTGCTGGACTATATGTATTAAATATGGTTTATAAAACAGAAACATTTATTCTTCAAAAATTGTATTTTGTTGAATTTCAAAGCAAGAATCTTCAAATGCTATAGTTGTAGAGTCCTGATTTCAGCAATTTTAAGAGGTAAATGAGCCATGTTGGTTATCTTTAAAACTTAAAAAAAATTTGATCCTCATTGAAATATCAAGTAGTAAGTAATTTAGGAGTAAAAGCCTATAGTAAGAGATTTTGAGAGATTGAAAGATCCACAGACTATAAAGGAAATGTTAAAACAGATTTTTTTTTCATTTCATCATAGTTTCAAAGAAATAAAAATCAATTTCTAGGACTTAATCATTTTCTAATACATGAGGTCAAAAGTACTTATAATTATATGAGGAAATGAGAGCTAGTACTTCCTTTAGTTTTTGTAAAAAAAATACCATCTAATATTTTTCAAACAGCCATTTGGACATTTTAAGAAACATTAATGGCAAAATTTCTAGATTTTTGTCCAATTATTTTGATAAAACTTTTATAAAGAAGTAACATTGGGTTTACCATTTTGAATGGACTTTGTGTTTGCCTTTGAAAGAAGCCTTAAGAGAATTATAGGTATTTGAAGTGCCAAACATTAATGGCCAACAGAAAAACTAAATTCTTTATAAAAAGATCCTAAAGAATATGCAAAAAATGATTATAGCTAATAAATTAATTCATCAAAGTTGCAGGGAATCAACACAAAAACCAGTTGTCTTTCTGTACACTAACAGTGAACAGTTTGAAAATAAAATTGGAAGAACAATTCCATTTACAGTGGCATCAGAAAGAATAAAATACATAGGAATAAATTTAGCCAAGGAGGTGTCAGATTTGGACACTGTGAAAACTATAAAACACTATTGAAAGAAATAAAAGTAGACTTAAATAAATGAAAAATATGTCCTAGGTTCATGGATTGGAATGCTAAATACTATTAAGATGTCAGTGACACCCAAAGCAATCCATGGATTGAATGTAAACCTTATCAGAATCCCAGTGGCCTTTGTTGAAAAGATGGAAAAGCTAATTCTAAAATTAATACGGAGTTCCAAGGGGCTCTGAATTGCCTAAACAAACTTGAAAAATAGCAGAGTTGGAGGACTTCTATTTCAGAACTTCCTATGGATCTGCAGTATTCAAAACAATGTGGTACTGGCATAAGAACAGGTATGCAGATCAGAGGGTAGTCTGAGAGTCCAAAAATAAACCTGTGACATCTGTGGTCAGGTAACATCTATGGGCAAGTAACGTTTGTGGTCATTTGATTTTTGTAAAGGGGGCCAAGAGCAGTTAATGTGGAAAGAATGGTCTTTTCAACAAATGGTGTTGGGATAGCTGGATACCCACATGCAGAGAAATGAAGTTGAACCCTTCCCTCATATCATATATTAAAATTAACTCAGAATGGATCAAAGACCTATATGTAAGAGCTAAAACCCTAAAACCCTTAGAAGAAATCATAGGAATAAATCAGATAATAAACTGGGGAAACACTGTATTCTGTATCCCATCCCCTCACACCCCAGCATTATTAAAGGGTCGGAGTTACCCTATCATTTAAAAAACCCTACTCGACTTTTAAAAGCCAGTGTTCCTGTGAATTGTTTGACCATGAAATCTTTTTTTTTCTTTTTGACATCTGTTAATGTCCAGTGGAATTAGTTTTCCATGACCAGACTTTGGGAAATGCTGTTACAAGGGAGTCATTCTGTGAGGAGAGGCTATAAAGTTCTAATACGGGAAAGAGAGAGCAAAAGGAGATTTTACTGTTCTAGATAAAGGTGAGGTTTCTGATGATACTAGAGCAAGGATGTTAAATTACAGTGATTTTGATTAGCTCTGTGGAAGACTTTCTTGACTGAAGCTGATTAAAGTCTGGAACGAGAGACTTTTTATAGAAAGGTTTACCAATATTCTAATTTTTTAGGGGAGGAGTTTATATAAAAACCTGCCTTTATAAATAGCAGGGTCCTACTGTATAGCACAGAGAACTATATTCAATACCTTGTAATGGCCTATTGAAAAAGAATATGAAAAGGAATATATATATGTAACTGAATCACTATGCTGTACACCAGAAATCAACACAACATTGTAAACCAACTATATACTTCAGTAAAAACAAAGCAAAAAACCTTGCCTTTAATTGGGGCCTATTGTTCATATGTGTTCTATAATCTATTGCTTTCGTGGAAAAAAATCATCATTGTCTCTTTTTTCTTGATCATAGTTAAATTTTTCTCCTGAAAATATTCTTAAGATTATGGCTGGTGAGCAGGTGTCATTTATGGCTAAGGCACACTTGCTTTTTGAGCTAGACTGATAAAAATTTGACTTTAACCTCAGTTTACTTTTTTTGACAAACTAGATTTGAGAAACATGGCTAATTGATTATAAGAAGTTAAAAGTCAAGATTTTTTTTTTTAATGGAAACAGAAAGGAGTTTATTAGGGCACACTGCTACAGACAACATCTGGCCACATAGGCGAGAGGTACCTGCATGAGCACTGAGGGCCTGCTGTTGCAGGGGCTGGCTGTTGGGGTGTTTTATAAGTTCCTGATTGGCTTGTGCACAAATCTCTGATTGTTTGTAGGTGACAAGTTTAGGGTCTGCGAAGGGCGATGGGATTTGACTCTGATAAGGTAGACATTACCTGGGGCTATCAGTTTGTTAGGGGAAACACGCCCAGTAAAGAATGTACTTTATTTGAGAGCCCAGAAATGGGGGTCATTGGACTTTGAAGGATGTCAGTTGGTCCAACATTCCCCCTGACAGATTGGCAGTGACAAGTCTTTGGGACAGGGGTGAAGGTCTCTTCCATATCTACTTCCTGCCTGCGTGCTAATTTGTCCAGGGTTATGGGGCCCAGACATCCCTGCAGCCTTAGAGGTGGGAGTGGAAGGAGACCCTGGCAGTGTCCAAGGGCTGCATCACGGGGATGTTGGCTTGGTTTGTGGCAGCAGTCTTGGTAGGTGGTGTGTATTTGTTCCTAAGATCACAGATCTTGGAGCTCAGAGACAATTGTTTTTGTAAGAGAGGAATATAACACAAAAGTAGGCGGATACCAAGATAAATAGCTAAACCCAGTAAAAACAAAAAATTTGAGAATGTCTTAAAAGGACCTTATGCCTTCATAGATCTAGGAAAAGGCATTGGAGAAAATGTCAGAGACCTGTTCAGTGACTACTTTCCTGTAAGCATTGACATACCTGACTCATTGGGGATAAAAGTACAGCACTCAGTCTGTATTACTGTGAACGGGCACCTTGGGTGGGATGTTAAGAGCCATGTGGTTTTGTAAGACAGCTTTCCTTAATGGCCAAAGTAGATGTCACCATTAATGATCTTAGTGCTTTTCTAGATATGAGGAGATGCTAGAATTTGAGCTCATAGAATCTCCTGAAAATATATGACTGTCTGAAGGCCTGTTTTGCTAGTTTCCCCAGAGCAGAGTGCCTCATTCCTGATCTCCGCCCTGAGCTCAGTAGGGTGCCACTTCAGTGGCTTGCAACTTAATCCTCGTCGAGGCAGATGGAAGGTGTCCTCATGGTCATAAATTGGCGACCATGGCTTGGGAGGCATTTCATGATCATTTTGACCCATGGTGCTAGGAGTGCTCATTCCTAGGTCAGGCGAGGATTTCATTGATAGACCACTCAATGTGCTGTTACTGGACTAGGCCTTATTAACAGCAGACCACCTGTCTTACTGGCCTGTTCCCAGGAAAATATCCCTCTTGTTGCTTCTTCCCATATCTAGAGTTACACCATTATATCACAAATCTCCTGTAGAACTGTATATCTGGTTACTTTAGAAGAAAATTCATACTTATGGTCAAAATTAGAGCAGGTAATAATTGACCTGGTGAGGGACTCCCAGCTAGTATTATCAGTAGGGGCCTGAACAGACCCTTAGAGTGGAGAAAGTAACTCAGAAGTACTAGGTAGAGGGAGTTGACCATAAACCTAACAGTGGGATTAACTTAACTCTGTACAGGATCATGAAATACATTTAGATTACTGAGCTTTAGAAACTAACTTAGAGTGGTTTGTAATAATTTAATTAAACCTTGTAAAAATCCCCAAGGGCAGGACAGCTTCTTGTTAGCTGTGCCTTGCCCTCTTTCTCAAAATTTGCATTTTAAGAAGATGGTGAGATAAGGGTTCCTGGAGAAGACCAGGTAGAATATTTGCATCTCAAAGGCAAGTTCCTCCTAGAATGACTTTTCCTTCAGGATCAGGAAGGTTTTTTTGTTTGTTTGGTTTTTTTTTTTTAAGATACTTACAAGTCTCTTAAGATAAGTAGGGGAGGTTTTGGGAGTGGTAAAAGGTTTGGTGGGTTTTGGATTATTTCTGGAGCCACGCCTCTGGTCCTGTCACAATGAGCAATGGTGGTGGCCACATATCTGGCTTGCCTGTTTGTCTCTTTTCTTATCTCTTCTCTCCTAGGAGATTTTCTCTCAGGGTCAGAATTTTGAAAAAGTATCTAGTTTTTTCTAATTGCATATGCAAAAAGAACC